GTAGACGCCGACCACACTTCCGATAGCTGTCACCAACCACCCCTCTGATAGCCATCATCCTACTGCATGCCAACACTATCGACCACTACAGTCAATTGTCTTCTTCAACTACCACAGTCGTCCTCTACCGTCTGCCACCACCTTTGTGCAGTCCCGCTGGTAGCCGCCGCCAACCATTGTTGATCATCGACATTAAAAACACTTTACTTTTGAAATACAATAATTTCATATTACTTCAAATCAAATGAAAATATGAAGAAAGAAGAAAGAAAACTAAGTTTTGTTTTGTGAAAATTTTTAATTATTAAGGGTTCATACTCATGTGACACCGACCAAGTCATTTTTTCGACGTTTCTCTTATTGAACCCACACTATTGTTGAGAACTAGGGACAAAAGTTTCTGTTTAGCCTTTGTCTAGGTCATAAGAAGAACCAAAAACCCTATACAACTAAAATTTTGTTAATCATACAATGTTTTCCAGGATTCTTCATATCCTCATTTCTAGGTTGCAAAACCCTAATGATTATATGCCTATTTCATTAGATTTTTTGTTTAACTTACTCATTCTTTTAAGTGATGAGAAAAAGTTCTAGATCACAATGGATTTTAACATTCTATTGTCTCTGAATTGAATTAAATTAATTTTAAATGTTAATTCATCAACATATAAAGTTCATGCACAAAAATGCATCAAGGGAATAAAATTCCATAGTATAAAACAACAAGAAAATTACATGCCTCACATCACAGGGCATGAAACATAATCAATCACAATGCATGAGAAAAAATGCAAAAGAAATTTATTACAGGCATAATAAAGATTGCAGTGATAAAGGTCCAAAACACTCACCCAGAGCCAAGCGGTCCTTAACAATACACGATGCTCCTCTCTGTTCAATATAAGCCCTAACTCTCCTCACACCTCAACTCGCAAACTCTCTAGAACTAATAAGAAAACCTCGACAAACAAGCATGAAAAGAGAAAAGAAAAGCTACATTAGAAGTTCTCTCCTTCGATAAAAAAGAAGAGAGCTTCAGGGTTTACATTCAAACCCTCAAATCTACTTAGAGAGACTTCAAAGTATACCTCCAAATATCTTTAGTCTTACCCTAGCATTCCCTATATTGAAGAAGTCTAAAAAAGGCATGAAAGTCTTGTCAGATCAAATTTTGGCCGTCTTATGGCATGACTGCACCGAAAACCGTTGTGGTTAAGCCTGAACTGGCATAGTCACGCCCAATTATGGTGTGGTTATGCCAAACATGGCCTAGTCACACACAAATCGGTGTGGTTACGCCAGTCCTAGCTCTTATTTTTGTTTTGAATTTTATTTGCGTGTTTGACACCTGTAATGTGAAAAACACAACAAACAACCTTATATAAGCATAAAATTGTGATAAATAAGAAAGAAAATCTTATATTTAATGTAGTTAAATCATGTAAATATCCCTCATATCAAGCTGCCAAATAAATCTCTCATCTAAGCCCAACCAATTTTCACATCAAAGTCATTCAAGATAACAAAGCCAAAACCAAATCCAAGAGACATCAATCCATCAAATCTATCTCATTTAAAGATAAATCCAAGCCACCTCAAGTGAAGTATAAATGAAATTAAAGTCAAATTCATCCAATTCAAACCAAATTCACTCATAGCCAAACCAAACTGAGTCCAATTAGCCACTAAGCTCAACTCAACATACTAAGCTCTACACCATAATCCAACCAAGAAAAACTAAGCCCCCAATGGATTCTAAGGTCCATAAATGTTGCTAGCTCAAGAGCTCCACATGCATGAAATCACCCCAATTCCCTTGGTGAAACTCTTTTGAATGGCTTCCAAAATCCTTATCCAATCCTAGCCTTCAATTCCTCATCATTTCCACTCTATACCGCCACTGGTCTCTCATCAAATTTACCAAGATGAAATATGACTCAACCTAATTCTCCATATCCACTCAACAATCATTTAAACTAACCACTCTCAAATCTTCATAGACCATCCAAACCCTCTCCTCAATAAAATTGCCACCATCCTGAGCCCTCCTTCACCATTTTAGACCAAACCAAGGGAGTATACAAGAACATAAAAATACACAAGCTCAAATCAATTTCACTGAACCACCCAATTGAGGACTCCATTCGGATTAAGGTATACTTCAAATTCTTGCATTTAGGCCTTAGTTGTGGTCATTTTTTAAAAGAACCTTCATTGCATGAAAAATTGACTGTAAGATAAGGCTCTAAGAATCTAAAGAGATCTAAAGACCCTTCCAACCAGGTTAGATCTTAGGTTAGATCGTTAGATCACTCAGAGCGAGCACTTTCTTTAGATAGTTTGCATTCATCGTTCATTTGTGGATGATGAACAGATGCATCCATTTCCATGTATTCAGAGTGGATTTCACAATTAAATAGTTAGAAGGAATCGTAAATTATTTCACACACGGGATCGAGGCTAGCATGTCGTCCCCAATCATTGTATAACAAACCACAGAGTGACACATAGGGGCTTAGTGACACCATAAGTTGAGCTTTGACAGCAGAGTTGGATAAGTAATCAATTCAATATTTATGTTCCATGGGTTCTGTAACTAAGGGAATTTGTTAGTTGCCCTAACTAATTTTCAATGTTTCTTATGGTTTCAGCTTTACTCTACAGTTGATTCCCTATCTGCAATACTACTTCCTCTAAAGACAACTTCTTGTCCTTAAACTATTGATTTTGGTTAAAGCCAAGTGGGTAAGGAGATCTCAAATTGGTACCACTTTTAATATCCCAATTCCCTAATGGATTTGCTTGATTATTCCCCGACTATTGATTTCCCGTCCCTTGATTATTATTGTTCCAATTAAAATTGGGATGATTTTTCTAACTGAGATTATAGGTATTGGAATAATGGTTATTAAACCTATTGTTAATAGCATTTAGGGTCTCGAGAATCAAATCACTAGGATCCACCCATTGTCCATATGAATTCTCCTCTATTACTAGTGATCCTTTTAGGTGATTTAACTCTAACTGATCTAGCTTTTAAAGATAGCTGCTACTTGAGAAGTCCAAATTGAAAGAACATCTGTGCATGAATTATGGCTACCTTCCTATGGTTGACTCTATCAAAAGGTCATTGGAAGTTATTCGTAGTGATCTTCTCAATCAAAGAAAATGCCTCATCAAAAGGTTTTGACAGAAGAGAACCTCCTAAGGCAGCATCTATGATTGACCTAAGAGATCCTACCAGGTCCTTGTGTAAAGTACAAATAATTAACACGTCAGGTAACGCATGGTGAGGACACTCCCTAAGAAGTTCCTTAAACATTTCTCATGCTTCATAAATAGATCCACCTCCAAAAAGAAGTAATGGCATTCCTCAGTTTGGTCGTTTTAGAATGTGCGAAATGCCTTGCTAAGAATTTCTAAGCAAACTTGTTTTAAGTTCTAATTGATCAACGAGATAAGGAGTTTAGCCACATTTTAGCTTTATCACTCAAGGAGAACGGGGAAAGCCTTTGCCTCATCACATTGTTGAAGACACCATTGTAGCGAAATGTGGCACAGAATTCTAAAAAGCTTGTTAAATGGAGATTAGGTTCTTCTGAAGGTGTCCCCCAACTTGATTCTTCTGCATCATTTAGATGATGACAGACTAGCAGAGGTTTGGATACTAAGATGGATTTCATCTACTATAGGGTTGGCATAGTCATTTAACGATCTATGCATGTCTTAATGTTCAGGGGCCTTTGGGTTATTTTGTTGATTATTCACCATCTCTCCAAAATTTGTTGAGTTTTTTTTTCTAATTTTTTTAACGATTTTCTCAAGCGCAAAGTCATAGGGTTTAAGGTATAACGATCCATCACTATGCATATACTAACTAGGTTCACTTATAAAGAGACAATAAGTGAAAGAGAATAAAAAATAAACAAAATAAAATCATACCACAAATATTATGCAGCAAAAAGACAAGAATCACGTGCACAATTAAGCAAATATAAATAGAGTATTTTTGAAATTTTATAACAAAAACAAAACAATATAAATACAAGGAATAAAATAACAAAATTTTCAAGTCAAAAACCTGCAAGTTCAACTAAAATTTTCCTAAATCAAATTCACCATCGTAAATGACGCCAAAAAACATGACACTCACCAAATGCTGTGAAGCATGGGTGACTCACAAAAGTATATGGGGGGTATCAGTAGAACTGGCATTTAAGACCGGTTATCAATCCCACAAGGAACAAGATGAATTTTAAGGAAAATTTATAGCTGATAGCTGTCAATCATAGCCTAAAAATTTTGATTTGAAAGTTCAATTATTTTTTAAAAAAAACTATTCAAAATTTATGAAAAATAGGTTCGTCCTAACAAGCAAGAAGATTATTTAAAGAATTCAAGGTTTGTCAAACTTCCCCTTTGAATTGGTTTAGTGAAGAATAAAATTGAGGTTATTATTTAAGCTCCATGCCAATCTAGAGCAAAGTCTTTCTTATCTCCTTTCGGTAGTCTAACAAAGATTAGCTATCATGAATTTAGTTCCCTAAATTGTAAGATTCGCTCAAACAAAAGAAACTCTTTATTGATTGCATAAACTCAAGGGTAATATCCCTATTCCAAAGAATTTATGAGGTTAACTCTTTTCGTTCTACAACATACCCTCCTGGATTCCAGAATTTACGAAAGATTTTAACTATTCCACTAGCCAAGTATAGTGTAATTAATTTTAAGAGTTAATGCAACACTTTAAGATCATTCAAGTTCAAAAAATAAAAGAATTCTCAATTTTTATCCTACCACATTCTCAATTTAAGGAAGAAACACAAGGAATTACTCACAACTCATGATAAAACACATCAACACAATCCTTGCATTAAGAAAGTAA